GCACCATTGCTGCCCCAAGGATTCCACTCTCAGTGTGATCTCCTTGTCAAAATTATTATGATATTGACCCGGGCAGTGACAGAGGTATGTGCAAAACATTAACGAGGTGAGGATGGGGCAGGCAGCAGAGACGGCGGCACCAAGTCCAGCCTGGAGACAGGTGGAAGGTTGCTGGGGATTGCTTCCGGAGGTGACATTTAAGCTGAGTCCTTAAAGATGGGAAGCAATTTGCCAGGCAAAGAGAAGACAGTCAGAGCAAAGACAGGGAGGCAGAACTAGCACAGAGTGTGCCTGAGAACAGCAGGCCATGTGGGGTTCATGAAACAAAAATCCCCAGAGAAGGAGAGGCAGGAGATAAAGCCGGAGAGGCCGGCAGAGGTCAGACACCAAGGGCCTGTCGTGCCACACTGGGGAGCCTGCCACTGAGGGCTGAGTCTTTTACATAACTCTGCATGGTGGCTGGCAGAGAGCATGCCCGCCTCAGCACGCAGTAGGTATTATTAGATGATGATCATGAAAGGCAAATCTGAGAAACCGCAAAAGTCTGAGCAGAGCCAAAATCCCTTACGTTCTGAGGCTCCAGAAAGTTATCTGACTCCTCTGCCCCTTTGCAAATTCAGCTGAGATGTGCTGCCATAGTGGTCAGCCAGACCTGAGGTGCTGCCTCCTTGGCAGTTGGCTGGACCTCTAGGCTTGTGCATATGGTGAAGAATAGTAATCAGAGGAGGGAGGCTAGAGAGTAGGGCTGGAGAGAGAGCAGGAGAGACTGAGAGAAGAACGACAGAGAGCCGGGAGACAGGAAAGCACACTGAGTCACAGCAAGATGGGGACTCAGCTTGAAGGATAGGTCAAAAAGATAATTTCTGGGGTAGAGAGGAAGACATGACCTCCTCCCAGCAGACTCTGCAAATCCTCCAATAATCAGGCCACAAAGCCGAGCATCCAGGCCTCCCTCGCTCCCCAAGAAAGGGGCTGTAGGGAGTGGAGCAGGGTCTCCCCTGTGAACTTAGGTGGTGATTCAGACACATCTGGACCACTGGTGGGCAGGCCCCAGCAGAAGTCTACTTGCCTGAAGGCTGAGGAGGCTCCATCCAGAAGGAAAGAAGAACCAAACTGGATAAGCTTGTCCCATAACAAAGACTGAATCCTCTGCAGGCAGGGAATCTGAAAATAAAATCGAAAGGAATAAACAACCAGGGGACAAGTAGTACCCTTTAATGAGCAGAAGTATAAAGAAGGGGGACTAAGATGCTCGTTCCTCCTTTGAAACAGAACATGAAGAAGCTTCCTCTCTGGCCTTCAGGTGGTAAGCTGAAGTGAGAAATGTCACGGCCATGGCTGCCAGGGGGAGGCGGAAGGCTGACGGACAGGGTGGTCCATGCAGATGCCCTGCGGCAGTCCCAGGCAGGAGCAGGGTCACATACTCACAAACACGTGTGAGGCATGCTGGGGAGCTCCAGAAATAACTCAGGGACAATTTATAGTAAGGTAAAGTCCCTCCCCACATGAGCTGGTAGAGGCAAAAACTCAGGAAATTTGGATCATGCTAATGGATCCCCACTTATGTGGGTGAGGCCTGGGGAAAGTTGACTTCCACTAGGAAAGAATGAAGTATGATTCCTCCACGGACAAGCTAGCGGGACCACATGGGACTCCTACCCGCAGAAGCTGAGGATCTTTGTTCTGGTCAAACTTTTTCTCTTGAATCCTCCCACCTGAAGTAAGCTTTATGAGCCCAAATACCCTTTTCCCTCAGCTCCAGGGTAGGGGCTCTTCTTAATCCCTCCCCTCTGCACACGCCCAGGTCACACCCAAGTCTGTTGAGCACACTCGACCCCTAACCACCAGGCACAGGTGTGTTTTACACACAGGTGCCTGTCTGAGCAAGAAGGAGGGAGAGGCAAATGGAGGTGGCCAGGCCTCTGTGCCATTGTAGCTCAAAGGAAGACCAAGACTAAATCTATAAAGACACTAAGCACAAAGAGTTATTTTATTTTCTACCTTATGATCTTCTGTATTTTCCAGATTATCTATAGAAAAAGGCTAATATCACTTTTTCAAAACCAAATATGAAAGGTACAAATGGACACTGCTGTTCACAATCTACATGACCCCTATGGTCACTCTGAGGTGTTTGAGTTTTAATATGTCATAAACAGAAGTCATAGAAAACAACCCACTTGGTGTTACAGAGGTGGTCCCACGGTGCAGGTGATGTGCCAAATTTGTGCTATCTACACAATGTGGTACCCCACTCAGGGACAAAGACCCTGTCATGGAAGGAGACAGACATTAACATTTTTTCCTACTCACCTCCACTAACTCTTGGCTCATCCAGAGAGAGTGATTGACAACCGCAAAGGCTGCTGGGCAACTATGTGAAAGAGGGGTCCACAGAGAGGCCTCCTCCACCTGTTACTCTTTTCTCTATCACTTCACATCCATAGGGGTCCCTAAGCCCCAGGAGAAGGGTCAAGTGCAAATCTGGTAAACCAAGAAGCCCTAGCAGTTGTCAACTTAATTAGCCTTCAGGAGAAATATATGGATATATGAGCACAGTGAAGTTGCTATAGAGACAGGCCCAGGAGGCGCATTTAGAACAGGGCCTCATCACATCACCCGATAAAAATAAGACTCAGGCTTTTTAATAGAATGAATTACTTAAGTTTTATATTTAACAGGGACGATACCAATGCTATTACTGGTTTTCAGAATATTTTAGGAATCTAGACTGCCTGCTTCTACATATGTTAACAGCCATCACAACATATGCTCTGGTGGTTGGGAATTAAGAACTGGAAGCCCATGTGTCTCTCCCACCCCTTGAGATGAGACAGAGTCCTTCTCACTTTGGGCTTGTCCTCCCTTAATTGGGTGATAGATTTCCAATATATTTCAGATAAAGGACTGAGGGAGAGCTATATTGTGCTTTGCACTGGGCCCTTTGCATATATAATTGCCAATGCCTATAACAGTCCTATGAAGTAATGATCTCATTCTGCAAATGAAAATAATGAGGTTCAAAAATTTTTGCAATGTCACAAAGCTAATAAATAGTGGAGTCGGGATTCAAATTCAGGTGTCCTCCATCCAAAAGCCCATCGCTTTCTAAGACACCACCCACAATCTCTGCACAGAGAAGAATCTGAGAAAAGGTGGATCTAAAGAGATCTACCACTGATATATAGTATTGACCTTATTATAGCTTAGACTCTCCTCTGAGGCAACCCTAAAGTGGATAGGTTCCAAGAAGAATCCCACGGTGAGGGCGATGACACGGTGAGGGCGATGAGCACATCCCCAAGTATCCAAGGCAAGAGTTCATTTCAGAGTAACTTCTTACTATCGTGCATGCTTCTTGGATGCCTCTTCCCTACCGCAAGCATGATTAATACAGTGTTCCAAACTGAACACCATTAAGAGAGCATCTCCACTGCATTTATGTATATGAAAACTTAAATTTATGAAATCAAGCTGGAGATCCAGGTGAAGGTAATTTTATTTTGTCTTTGGATTATTCACGATTCTCCTACTTTGCAGAGATTTTTTTTAATTTTGTATAATTTTCCAACAAAGGCCTACATAGTAAGCTCAATCTGTGCCACAGGTGCCAGCCATTCCTTATTGTAGGAGAGAGGGGTGCTGGTGATTGTAAGGCTGGGCACAAGGCAATGGAGGTGACAGGGAGGGGAAGGATGGTTGGGAAGCTGGGGGGCCTGATGGTGAGGGTGATCCTAAGCAGGGGTGCATATATCCCTCCCCATTAATTTTACTTGCAGAGGATAATGGCAGAAGATGTTAGGTCTTCCAGGGATATGAGAGAACATATCTAGGGCAAAACTGAAATGCACGGCTCGACAGAAATTCTAACCAAAGCATCAGTTCAAATGAATGAGGCAGCAAGGCAGAAGGCAGGGATAAGTAGAGACTGGAGACTTGAGCCCAGACCCGAGCAGGAGGCTTGGAAGCAGAGGGGAGGAATGGTGTCTGAGAAGAGTCCCTAGGCAGTGAGACTCATCCTAGGAGGCTTCCCCAGGCTGCCTGTAACCTCCAGCCTGTGTGGGAAGGGGAATCATTTTGTGCTATTGAAATAATTCCATGATGTACTCTTAGCATAGAATGAGCTCACTAGACTCTGTGGGCCCCAGCCAGGTAATCTCACTTCTACTATAGGCAATCGTGCAGGGGTTAAAAGCATAGGCTTTGGATTTAAGCCAGTTTTCTAGGTTCTGGTTTACAAGTTCTGGCAAGTCCCTTAAGTTCTCTACAAAATGGGAATAATAATAGTCAGATGCCAAGGATGAGCCCAGGTAGGAAAATGGCCAGTGGGCTTTGTTGGGGGCCAGCACAACTTCCACCCCGTTGGCTGGGTGAACGCCATGGCCAGAACAGCGAGCAGAAGCATGACTCTAGCCCTCTCTTCCTCGACAATCCTAGGGACCACCTCCCCACCCCTCACCACTGAATCTCTGTTCTCTCCTGTTAAAAGGGGTCAGCTTTTCAGTGTCCCCTGAGCCTACTTTGCCCTCAACCATGAACTCTTTCCATGAAAATGTCTCTAGGGTAGCTCATAGGCCACTGTCATCATCTGACACTAAGCTTTTCCCTATCACTATCTTTACCCTTTGCCCTCTAAACAAGGAAGCCAGCACTGCCAGGCCAAGAACTTTTGCCCAGTTTGGATTGTGGGTGGCCTCTTACCTCCCTCTTCCCCCGGGCCCCCAGCCAAGTCCTCCCTCCCTCAGAGATGCTCCCTGCTCACTTCATTCCTGCCTCATAGCTGGAATGACAGTGGCTCCCAGAATCCCTGGGGTGTGGGGAGGGTGATGGGGGTCTGGGGAGGCAGCCAGGCCCAGCAGCAGATTAATGTTACAGCCTTGGATAAGTGAGCTGGGCCAGTTGACGTCAGGGTGATGATGGGTGGAGGGGAGGGCCAGGCTGCTGAACTATAAAGATAGGTCAAATCAAATATAATCGACTTGGGACGGAGCAAGCGGGCGAGCTAGACACCGTCCCCAAGCCATGGTCCCTACCAGCCACGGCTCAGCCTGGGTCCCTCTGCTCCCGACCCGAGTGCCCAAAGCAGGCTTTGGTTTCATGTCAGCAGCCTTCATCTGCCTTCCAAAAATAAGCCCCTGCCGCCATGCTGAGGGGAGAAAAACAAGAAGGGCGGTATTTTTAGGGCCATTAATTCTGACCACGTGCCTGAGAGGCAAGGTGGATGGCCCTGGGACAGAGGCTGTTCATCACTATGTCCCGGGGAGCAGGACGTCTTCAGGGCACGCTGTGGGTTCTTGTCTTCCTAGGCGTCCTAGTGGGCATGGTGGTGCCCTCGCCTGCAGGCACCCGCACCAACAGCACGCTGCTGGACTCCAGGGGCTGGGGCACCCTGCTGTCAAGGTCTCGAGCTGGGCTAGCTGGAGAGATTGCCGGAGTGAATTGGGAGAGTGGCTACTTGGTGGGGATCAAGCGGCAGAGGAGGCTCTACTGCAACGTGGGCATCGGCTTTCACCTCCAGGTGCCCCCCGACGGCCGGATCAGCGGGACCCACGAGGAGAACCCCTACAGTGAGTGCAAGCTGCAGCCAGTTGGGAAGCTGGGGGCTTGGGTGCAAGCAAGGCTAAAAGATGAAGGGGACTTGCTCTGGTGCATGGGGCCTATTATAAAGGGGACAGAAGTCATATTCTCTATTTGGAATCTTATAAGCAGAGCCACCTCCCCCAGACTGACTTTGACCCTGCCTGGGTGCAGGCTTAATATGCTGAGGTCCAGGCATTCTGGTGTCCTTTGCCATCACCCCACAGAGCCCCCATGGCATCCATTAGTTCAGTGTTAAAGGCACATCTGTGCCCATATAAGACCACCTGGAACCAGCCAGGAAGCCTTAAGGCAAGAGTAGTGAAAATAAGTAAGGGTTTTTGGACCAGATTCGACTTAAGCTCATTTTTATTTAGCTTCCCTCTTTAAGAAGGAAAGGAAGTATTTTGCAACATTTCTCACTGAAGCACATCTTTCCCTTTATTTCCACCTGCCCTCTCCGTCCCCAGGTCCTTGTCCTGCAAGTTGGTGGGTTGCTGCATAGGTACGTTCCCGCATCCAAGAGGGGTCAGGGGCTGCAGGATCCACACAAGCCTTCAGTCTTCCGTGTGGTTGCAGTGTTTGCAAGATTAGATGAGCTGAAATTTGTTGAAGCATGGAGAGTATCTACTTTATTAAAAAGCTAATCAGCATTCATGTTTCTACCCCAGGCAAGGACTTCATGTGAAGTCTGTAAAAGCTAATCTCATCTAGATATGGCTGCAATCCCTGACCCCGATGTCAGAACTTCCCCAGCGGAAGTGGATCTTTGACAGTAAAGTGGCAGGACTTGCCGAGTCCAAAGTGAGATCAGGGATAGAGGTGATGAAGGGTCTGGCTTTCTAGGAGCTGGGGGATGGGCTGAGGTGCCCTTGTAGTGTCGCCTCTAGATTGATGTCCCGCTGAGCCCTGCACAAGCCTTGGGTAACCTGGCCCCCCTTTCTTTGTCAGGCCTGCTGGAGATTTCCACAGTGGAGCGGGGTGTGGTGAGTCTCTTTGGAGTGAAGAGTGCCCTCTTCGTTGCCATGAACAGTAAAGGGAGATTATACACAACGGTGAGTCCACTGGGCTGGGGGACGTCCAGGCTATTTGAGGGCTACAACTTACACAGTTGAAGAAAATGCTACAAAAGCTTGCATAAAGAAGTGAATATTTGTCTAGAATAAGAAGGAAGCATGCGAGCTCATGCTTCATGTGTTTCATGTGCTTCACGGTTAACTGGCTTCTGCTTTGGACCATGTTTTTCCTGAGCCTTCCAGCCTTTGTAATATTAAATAGGAACCGTAGGTCAGGAGGCTGCTGGTTCTGAAGGAGACCTGCACCCTGGCATAAAGCTGTCACCCAGCCTGACGGTCGGGTTTTACCCCCTGAACTGGAGAGGCCTGGAGAAGCAAGCCTGTCTTTCAGCCCGGGTGCTGTTCCCCATGACCCCGAGAGGTACTCATCTAGCGCGCAGTATGAGGAGGAGAGACGAAGGAACTTGAAGTTTTACTCTATGGTTTTAAGCCCTCTGACCCCTGATCCTGTAGGATGGAGAAACATCCTCTTATTCCACCCTCTGGGCTGGAACCCAACCTCCAGCCCGCTCCCCATCACAGATCACCCTGGGAAGGTGAATGCCGGCCCTTTGGTTAACCTAGTTGGCTTCTAAGTGCATTTACTAAAACCCCTGCTCTTATTGACCCCCGGGGTCCTGGGTCTCTCCTCCTAAGATTTGGCTTATTCCAAAACTACGGCGGGGGGTCGGGGGGGGGGGGAACAACATCCTTATGAAGTTGAAGGCACTGGGAGTTCTTTTGACAGAAATTAGAAGGATAAAAAGGTAGACCGCTGAGCATTTGTGAAGGAATACCAGAGTTATTTATGGGGAGGGCGTGGAGTGCTGTTCTACCTCTCCTTGGAGGCAGACTGAGCACCAGGAAGTGAGCAGAGATCTGGGATTGGTGCCTGGTTCTGGCGAGGCTATACCTACACGAGAGGCCTATTACATACCCAAAGGGGAGCTCAGGTGGTCTCTTCCCTGTGATCTTTAAGTTTACTTACTTATTTTTGAGAGAGACAGAAAGGGAGAGAGAGCAAGTGGGGGAAGGGACAGAGAGAGAGAGAGAGAAAATCCCAAGGAAGCTCTGGACCATTAGCAAGGAGCCCGATGCAGGGCTATAACCCACAAACCATGAGATCATGACCTCAGCCCAAAACAAGAGCTGGATGCATAACCAACTGAGCCACGCAGGTGTCCCTCCCTGTGACCTTTAGTCAAGGAGACAAGGCGTGGATTAAAAGTGGGCGTTGGAAGTAAAAGGAATAGCCCTAGGCTAGGTGGTACCATGAACCAGAATTCAGTCCCTGGTCTGTTCACCAAGGGCACTTCTGCAGAGCCGTGACGTGCATTACCTGAAGAGCCCTGAGGCAGGTCTGCACACTGCTCTGACAGGACAGGAGACTTCATGAACCCAGTGTCCCATCTGTAAAGGGAGGATAAAGTTACATGCACCTCCCAGGGCTGCCAGGAGATAATGCTTGGAAAGCACTCCACAGGGTGCCCTGCAGACAGTAAGTACTCAATACAGAGCAGCTATCATATCAGCTGATGCGGCGAGGCACCCTGCCATGGGGTTCTGCACCCTTCTTTCCTAGAAGTGACATGTGTGGGACATTTTGCATCCCATCACCTTGGCAGCTTGTTAAAAGTACAGATTTGCAGGGACCTCCATCAGAGATGCTTATTTGGCAGGGCTGGGATGGGGGACCAAAGATGAGTTTGTTTGTTTGATTGTTTGTTGTTGTTGTTGTTTTTAAGCTTCTCTGGTGTTTCTGTAGCACAGGCAGGCTTGGGACCACCAGGCCACACAGTCTTTGGAGGGCGGGGCAGGTGAAACCCAGCATGAGGTTTGGAATCCTCAGACACCCCCTTTCTTTCTCAGACTTCACTCTGTGCAAAGGTGCTGGAGAAGACAGGAGCCAGCCTGGGGCCAGCCTAGGTTTGGGTGAAGCAGGGTCCCTCCTTGTGGAGATAGTCTTCCCAAAAAGCCCTTACTCGCCAGCCTGCACCGTGCCTGGGATCCCGCCGATTGGAGAGCCAGGAACTGGGGTTGTTGACTAAGGCACCCTCTGCAAGGGACCATTTAGAGGTAGATCTCCTGGAAGGAAGGACAGAGTGCAGAAAGCATTACCAGAAGGACTTTCAACTTTGAGGCAAGGAGAGGGCACAAATATACGAAAATGTACCCACTTCCAACTAGAAATCCATTACCCCGGTAGGAGAACCTATATGACGTTCAAAAATCAGAGCTTTAATCACAGTCAGAGGCACTGCAAAGGGGTAAAGCATGGAGTAGCAAATGGGAAGGAGCCACCTTCCATAAGTAAGTGTGAACTGACTCCTCATGTTGGAGACACCCCTGCTCCCCTCCCTCCGGGGCACATGACTTCCAAGGGGGTCAGATGGGCCCCTGAGCTGGAGGGTTCACGAAATGAGAGAGTCCAGGGAAAAGGGGGGCTGTCCTGAGGGAAGGCTTGCTCATTCTGCACACTCTACCCTCCCCCTCCCACACCCCAGGAGCACTGAGTCTGGGAGCACCTTCTCTAAGGTGGGAGGTTGTCCTCCTTGGAGCCCAGGGCTGGGCAGGCTTGTGTAGGAGAGTGGGGCTGGACCCGGGAGTGTGGCCCAACTATGCCCCAAGCTTGGACAATTGATGCTTTGTGTGGCTGTGCCCCAGATGCTTCCAAACCACCTCTACCCCCTCCCACTGCCCCTCAGGGGCCTGTTATCACAGTCTAAAAAAACAATTGCCAACTGATCCCCGGAGCCAGGAAGACTCCCGCTGGGTGATGATTTCATTCACACTATTTCCCTTAAGCCCCTAGAGCTGCCTCATCTCCCCAGGCTCAGCTGCTACCGCCTGCAGCTAAATGAGATTTCTCATGGGGGGAGGGGACCCTTGCACGGGGTGGGGACAGGAGACTACTCATGGCCAGAGAAGAAGAGCTGAGAAAACCTACCTAGGAAAAGTGACTTCCTGCATGTCTCACTTCTAGGAAAGAGGGGCGCAGAGCCCCATGGCGGGATGCCTATTCCCAGCTGAGACAATATAAATAGCCGTCCTGGTATTGAGCACCTACTGTTTGTAGGGCATCTTCCAAGCATTATCCCCTAGCAGCCCTGGAAGGTGCATGTGGTCTTTATCCTCCCTTCACAGATGGGACACTAGGTCTCTAAATTCGCACAACCAGTTCTGTGTGCAGACCTGCCTCAGGGCTCTTCAGGTAAGGCTCTTGAAACCCACAGAAGAAGTGCATCTCATGTACAGATTGGGACCCAATTTCCAGCTCCTGCCCCACCTACCCTCCACTACCTGCTTATATGTGGGGCAAAATCCCTGACCTTCTCTGGGCCTGGACCTCTGCTCTCTCCATGTAGACAGAGGCAGAAATCAGTGAATTCCAATGTCCTTAATGCTTTTAAAAATAAAATTGAAAAAAAAAATCAAGGAACCCCACTTAACGATTGGTGGTCGGCTTGGGCACTCTCTACGAGAATCCCTTGGCCAAGAGAAAAATGCATACTGACAAAAAGCTAGTAGGAATTCAGTAATGCTTTTAAATGATTTTAGTTTTACTATTTATAACTGCATCTACATCCTTTTAATCAATAGTAGTATGACAACGTGCAGAGAACACAGTATTTGTTTCATCCATCAAGGCCTTTGCTTATTCTGTGGGGCATTACATTGGGAGAGGGGAGGACCAAGCCATGCCTTCACTCAGCTGGCAGCAAAGCTCATCCAGCAGAGAACAGATTCCTGAGGGGATGTTAGCACCTGCTGGGTAGAAGTGCTGGGGGATGGGACCCGAGAGCCCTGAAGACAACTCTCCCCAACACACAGCCTGCCTGCTACAAGGAGCTGCACAGGATTGACAAGAAAGTCATGCCTGACAAAAAGCTTTTCAAACACATCTAAATCGACAATGCCATTGTGTGTTAGGAAAGGGGGTTACAATATACAGACCTCTTGGAGCTGAGATGTTATCTATTTCTCCATTTCAGCTAAGGACAGAAAAAGAAACAGAGGCTGCAGGAGGAAAGGGTCTTAGGAAAAAGAATCTTTTTTTTTTCTCTCCATTTCCCACCTCCTTAAACACCACCCACCCTTGCCCCTTCCATGCACACTCACAAACCAGGAGGAATAGAAGAAGCAAGTGGCTCTGGGTTAGCCCTGGGAGGAAGAGCTTTAAAGACACGCATCCACTTCCACCAGTCCGGGTGACTTAGCTCTGCCCGAAGACAAGAGGATGGATGTCTCATCCAGCCCAGACCGCATGGGGCATTTCTGCCAGAGGTCACAGGCTGGAACAGCCCTCTGCAAAGCCCCTCTGCAAAATTCCCTTCTCCATGGTAAGAGCCGATCGCTTTGGAGTTTGGTTCCACATAAGTCTGATTAGACCTACATGGAATTTAAGACGTTGTCACACTGGGGCCTGAGCCCCGGCAAACCCAGGAAATGTGATCTGGAGGAATTATTTTCATTTGTTCAAGTAATAATATATGGTAGCTGCTTTTATTGACCTGACGTTCACTTGGCATGAGTGCTTTTCTCACCAGAGCTGAGGAGACACCACTCTTGGGTCGTGAGAACCGGGCTCAGGAGGCAGTAGACATGGATTAAGAGGCTGGGTCTGGATACCAGCTCAGGCATCAGCCTGGGCAGCGGGAATACCCACTGGCCTGAAGCATCAGCTGCTTCAAAGGGTTCAGGGAAATGGCCTTGGCCTCCTGCCACCTGAACCCCAAGGACAGGGCAGAGGGGTACAGAAAGAGACAGGCAAAGGAAAGACAGGGCTTTGAAAGCAAACTTCATCCACTTCTCTTTTTTCACTTAAGATTTGTACCCAGTTCTGGGGAAGGCCAGGAATAGGAGCAAGGCTAGAGAAAAGGAACCAAACGGACAGAAACTAAAGTGGGAAAAAATTTTTTAAAGGGCAGGAAATTTGAATAATCAAAATGCAATGAGCGGAGAACAAGGCACAATATGTACAACCACCAGGATGTACATTTAACCAATGTTTGAGGAGACCCAGACACTGTGAAAGGCTGGATTCTTAAATTGGACACGTTCTAGAATGGAGGATATGGGCAGATGCTCTCAGAATTTCTTGTCCGAATCATTCAGTTCCTCTTCCTTTCCTTCCTCTCCCTCACACCCTCGGCCCCAAGGTTTGATTTCCTCTCTAGAGTTTGCAAACCACACGCAAATCCTCTCCCTTAACCACCATCTAGATCAGAAACAAATTCTGGAGACTGAGGGCGGGTTGCTCTCCAGGGACGTACAAGTTAGAACAGAGGGAAAAGTGGAAGGTGGCAGGTGGCAGGGACTAGGACTACCAGGACACAGGGGGACCACCCGTTTTTGATACAAATGTTTTCTTTTCTTTTTTTTTTTATATAAATGTTTTCTTTTTCCTTCCTGGCTCAACTTGTATCCTGAATTTCTTTCCCACTTTAAATAATCTACTTAGATGACTAGGTAATGCATGAACACGGTTTAAGGTGGGGAGAAAGGTGTAAAAGAATATGCCACGGGAATTTAGTCTCCTTCTCACGCTCTCCGAAGCCACTAGTACCTCCCCAGACAAAGATGTTGTCCTGGCTCTTTGTGTATCATCCCAGGAAGACCCCGTGTCCCTGTATGTGCACCCTCACTGTTATTTTAAAGGTCACACAAATAGGAGCATACTACACATCGTTTTGAACCTTACTTCATCACTTAACAGTATGTCTTTGAGACCATTTCAAGTCAGTGCCCACAAAGGTTTCATATTTTTTCATGGCTTAATAGCATTCAGTTGTGTAGATCTGCCATAATTGAATTAACTACTCCCCTCCAAATAGACACTTTGTTGTTTTGGGTCTTTTACTATTATAAATAATGCTGCAGTGAGTAACTCTTGTACATGAGTGGGAGTGTGCTAGTTAGATACATTCCTACAAGTGGAATTACTAATCAAAGCTATATTCCTTTTTCATTCTAGTAGATATTGTCAAATTGCTCTTTATAAAGGTTATAACAATATACACACCCACAGACATTAAATGAGAATTCCTAGTCTTCCTGCATTCACCAATGAAAGAATATTATCAAACATCTGATTTCTTTTTTAATGTTTATTTATTTTTGAGAGAGAGAGTGTGTTCACAGAAGAGAGGCAGAGAGAGGGCGGCACAGATGACCAGAAGTGGGCTCTGTACTGACAGCACAGAGCCTGACAAGAGGCTTGAACTCACAAACCGTGAGATCATAACCTGAGATGAAGTCAGACGCTTAACTGACTGAGCCACCCAGGTGCCCAAAAATCTGATTTCTTTAATCAAACAATTAAAAATGTGGTCTCACTGTTAGGACTTACATTTCTCTCATTAGGCATATTTTCTCATGTCCAAATGCTAGTTGTATTTCCTTTTCTGTAAATGGTCTGTTCATAAACACTGTCCAAGGGTCCCGAATATAGTAACAAAATGTACTCTCTGACACAAATGCAACTATTTTTTAACTGAGTTTTCCATTTACATTTTTGTTTTGTTTAAGGTAATTTTTTCCAGGCAGAAGTCAAATGTATTCCTTTTGCTTTTTTTTATGGCATCTAGTTTTTTGTGCCCTGATCAAAAAGATCATCCTGACTCCAGATTATTTAAAAAAATTTTTTTCTGGACTCATGAGGTTCTTTTTTTTTACATTTAGGTCTTTGCTACTTGTAGAATTTATTTTAAAGTAAGGAATGAAATGATAAGTCAAACTTTATTATTATTTTTAATTATTATTGTTATTAGATATTACCCAGCTGTTTCAACACCATGCTGTCTCCAGTGATTTGAAACCCCACTTCTATATTAATTTCAAATCAATTTTTATGTTATATTGCTATATATTTGGATCTACTTCTGGACTCTGTATTTTGTTCATTAATCTTCACCAGACTTTTAATCAATGTAGCTTTGTTTCTCATTTACCTTTTACAGTTAATCCTGAGATTCTATTCTCCTAGTGGTGTTGCTTCAGAGTTTTGGCCCTCAAATGGTCTCAGCTTCTGTGGCTGCTTCTACCTCTCATGCACAGGTAAAGAGGCCATGGCCCAGAGAGACCCCAAAGAGCAGTGCCAGAGCATCAGCCTCTGTGTATCCTAGTTCTGTGTTCTTCTCATGCAAGTTCACAGTCTCCCAGTCATTCAGTCAATAACTGCAGAGCTTAAAAGTGGAAATGTCCAATAACCCACAGCAGGTTTTGCAGGAATACCAATCCAGGGTAAGACAAAGTCCTTTAGAGCTTTTAATGCAAAGTAGTTCATGATAGAGAATAATTATAGTAATAAGAATGTTTTAAAAGTTTACTTATTTTGAGAGAGAAAGAGAGGAGAGAGCACATGTGAACAAGAGAGGGGCAGAAAGGAAGAGAGAGAATCCCAAGCAGACTCCATGCTGTCAGCACAGAGCCCGATGTGGGACTTAATCTCAAGAACTGTGAGATCATGACCTGAGCTGAAATCAAGAGTCAGATGCTTAACTGACTGAGGCACTCAGATACCCCCAATTTTTTTTTATATTTTACTATGTGCCAGGTGTTACACCATGGACTTCCTGTACATTATTTCAATTAATGCTCCAATTCTATGACATAATTATTCTAACTGCCCCCACTTTACAAATGAGGGAACTGAGACTTAAAAGGTTAAATCACTTGCCCAAGTTCACATAGCGAATGAAGTAAGAGGTGAATCATCATCAGCATAACCTCAAAGTTCCTTACAAAGGAAACTAAAGGTTGTAAAAACCCAAACTCCCTAGTGTGGTATTAGGAAGCCAGTTGGTGTGACTGGCTAAAGCTTTCACATTCACCTCAAGTAAATTAATACATGTAGAAGTGCCTTGTAAACAATAAACTGGACGCCTGAGTGGGGAAAGGGGTGAGAGGTGAAGGGCAGAAGGTGAGTGTGGTGTTCCTTCCTTACACCATGCTGCACCCTTGCTCACTCTTATGCTACACTGAAGGAGTCGGTCATGTATGGGTGTCCATTTGTCCTCCTGGCATCCCTATTAAGTCATCATCCACTCAGGGTCACATACCTGACAAGACACAATCCTTGACTCGGGGAACTTGGAGTCTATTGAGAAAGAAGAAGCTGTCCCCAGGGATCACACACACACTGTTGTACATGCTGTCTGAGAGGTGCGTCCAAAGAGCTGTGGGTGTCTGGGAGCCCAGGGAACTAGCTCATCACCCTCTGTTCATAACAGGAAGAGGCTCTGGTCCATCCCCCGCCTCCAGCCAGCCCAGGGTGCTCATAGTACGATTCCTTCGGAGAAGGTCAGATGACACCTTTGGCACAGCTGGCCAGCCATTGAGTGGGCTTTTTATAGCCAATGGCCTCAGTCAGCAGGAAGGAGTCAGAAATTACACCCCACCTCTCTTTTTGTTTCATTCTGTGTTTCTTTCAAGATTGGATCTCAGACCTCCTGGCTCCCACCTTGCTCTCTCTTCCTCTAGACTCAACAGAGCCACTCCCTATACAAAACACAGAAATCCCCCCAACCTCCCTCAGCATTGGCCCTGCAAGTCCGGGGAGGAACGGCCTTCTTTTCTAGGAATAAAGGAGGGCGTGGGTGATGCATAGGGAATGAACTTGTCGATGTGTGGCAGGAAGTTTAGTGCTCATTTTCAGAACAGGTGCTCCACACACTTCTCTACCAAATTAGCACTGGCCCCAGACTCCATGGCACCACCTGCCACAGAGGGAACCAGGTTCTCTTCTCCATAAAAATCACTGCTCCTTACCATCTCTGTTCCTGAACTTTTCTAGAGAGCAATGAATGTCTAGGAGGCACCAGGCACCTTCTGGGCTCAAAGTCAAAACCAAGAATGGGCATCTTTAAGGGGTGGCAAACCTGGGAGGTAAACTGGGAAAGATGGAGTGAGGGGGCAACGAGTGGAAAGAAGAAAGGGTTAACATGGTCAACAGATAGCGCTGGAAAGGACTTAGGGAATCATATGTCCCCACCCCTCCTCTAACTGCCCCCCCCCACCTCCTCCCCAGACACACAGCTTGCAGGAAAGGGAACCAAGGCTGAGAGAGGAGACTGCCCATGGTCACACAACTAGGAAGCAGAAAACCACTAAGTAGAGCCTGGGGCTCCCAAACCCATTCCACTAGACCACCTCTCACAGTGGACTTGGGAAAAGCCCATTATATCCTTTTATGATTCTTTCTCTGATGAAATAAGTTATCAGCTAGGTGCTTGGTGGAAAGTGCCCTGAACTGAAAATCAGGAGACCCACCTCATGTGACACAGACTTTCTCCATCCATGTCCCTGGGCCTTGATTTGCTTATCATGAAGAGGAGAACATGAGAGGGGTCCAAAAGAGCTTGGAAGTCTCTTCCTTTGTGCCCTCCCATGATTTGATTGGCCTAGAATGGCTCAGTTTCCCTGCTGGCTATCTTATGAAGGGAAGGGAGGTGTACCCGGTAGAGGGCTCACTACATCTCATTTATAATTGAGCCTCTGTTATTTGTCCATTTCTTTCGCAGCCCAGCTTCCAAGAGGAATGCAAGTTCAGAGAAACCCTCCTGCCCAACAATTACAATGCCTACGAGTCAGACCTGTACCGAGGGACCTACATCGCACTGAGCAAATATGGACGGGTAAAGAGGGGCAGCAAAGTGTCCCCAATCATGACTGTCACTCACTTCCTCCCCAGAATATAAGGACCCTCAAAGAAGGCTCACAGATTGAAAGCAACATCTTTTGTTTTGGAATTTTGCACAAATGAACAATTCCCCTTACCTCCCACCCCCCATGACTCCTCAGTCAGGCTTTTCCTGTACTTGGGGAGACCTGAGTTGGTTCCCTGGGTGACCGGACCCCATGGTATGTAACCAAACCAAGAGAGAGGTTGCGACCAACATCCTAGAATGGCAATGGATGCATGCTGTGACCTCAACTGAGGAAAGAAGGTACATGTGGCATATGACCACGTGCACAGGAAAAGGCCAGGGTGGGAGTATTCGTGTGTGTTGATGTATATCCATACATCTTCACGTAGATGGTCTGAGAAAAGGCATTGCAGAGCATTGGGTTTCTTTCTCCCAGTATCATTGCTGCAGGAATCTGCCTGCAAGAATGCCACTTGTCAAACCAGCTGGATTGATGTGTGTGCCCATTCTGCCTCTTTCCAATCATTCTTCCATCCAGAGGCCACTTAGTGCATGCATGGGTTGCATGGGTGGTGGGGCACAGCTGTCCTCTAAGGGTAGGGAGGGCAGGGTGGGAGGAAGTAGGGTTTAACTGCAAACCAGAAAGAAGGTGGGCAGGTTCCAAACTTCCTGTCTGTGAGGGCTCTGGGGCTGTCCTGTCTGGGGAGCTGGGGGAGAAGGGATGATCCTCTTCTTGGAGAAAAAGGGTAGAGCAGTGTCTCGGGCAGTTGGGGAAGGCCTGCTGGAAGCAGCGGAAGGGACTGGATGTTCTATGGAGTGCCATTCTGCCTGGAGGATTCAGTGCTGCGTGTGGCTCCAAGAACAAGCTGGGGCCAGGCTCCCTGCCCATAACTTTTCCTCACTTTGAACTGGGTCTTATTTTAACCTCAAATGACAAGGATCCTAATAATGGCAACCTGTTTGGCGAGGGGTGAGGGGATGCAAAATAGGGCATGAAGGAAGTAGAGAGGCTTTGGACTGCAGATGATAATTCCTCTCCAGCTACGTCCAGGAAACTCACCCAAGTCCTCATCTGATACTCTCACTTCCTTCTTGGTCATCATCAGTTTGCATACACGCTGATGCCTGGATGCAGTAGAATGGGCACCATGACCTCCAGAGTTTGCCCCCTCCGGCCCCTCTACAGTAAGAGAAGAGTGATAATCCTGTGAAATCAAGCAGCCAAACTGAAACAGCTCCTTGCAGTACAATGCCTTCTTGCCTCCTGTCCTTTGAGAGTATTTAAAGCAGAGGTTCCCCAAGTGACTATAAATGTTGTCTGCCTGGAGCCTTCAGATTCCTGAACCATTGGAATGTTCCTAAATCTGAAACCAGAGAGAGCCATATCAGAGTGCAAATATTTTCGGCATACATGAACCATCAAGTTACAAAATGACCTGACACCCTGCTGCTTTCAGGGGCCCCTGCAAGACAACCCCTCATCTGCTGCAAATACCTTCATCTTCGACATACCTCTCTATTTGCAGATGCGGCCATCTATAGATAGATCTGAGCTGAGCGACTGTGAGATGGACATGGAGGTTGGAAACCAAGGGAGACATCATATTGACTACTTTCTGCCTGGCACACATCAGGGAGGGAATGTGCTGGGTGAGGAGGAAAAGGCCACACCAAGGTGAGCAACCAGAAAGACTGAACAGACAGTAAGAGCTTGAGAGCAAGAGTGGACATGGCCAAGCCTTGGAAGAAACGGGAAGGAGCTGGGTCTTGGGTCAAATGGGAGAAAGTTGGTCCATCTTGAACATTTAGAATACTAGAAGTGCAGTTCTGCTTGGAGGCAGAGTACAAAGCTGATTATCTTGTCCAGAGTAATTGACTGGCCTCTTTGACAGGGTACATCAGACCTGAGGTGCACTCAGGACCTAAGGCACGTATCAGTTTCTGATGGGATGTACTGGCAGTGCAGGAAGGCTGGGTGGATGGATGGACAATGATCTGGTGAGGAGAAAAGTTTTAGGTCCCAAAACGTTAGCTCCTTTCTTCCTAAATCTCTGAGCCAATTTGGCACGAGAGGGGACACACTTCTAAAGAGAGGCCTCAGATTGCTAGACCTTTCCTGCATCTCTCTAGAGGCTCCTAAAAGGGCCAAAATACTGACAAGGAGTCCCCCCAAATGTCCACTCCCATTTTTCATGCTAAGAGTGAGAAGGAGATGCTATGACATGCCTAGGACCAGGCTGCCTTGTTAGTCAGTCACTACGTGGAGGCACCAGCACACCATTTGCTGGACAGGAACTGGTTACTAGCAGCCGGGCATCTGTTCAAACTGGTACCAGGGCTTACGTTGCACCAGTTGCTGAACATTCTGAATATATTCCTGGATGGGGGATGCATCGTTGACTCGTTAAAACTCCTCCTGCTAGAGGAGGTCTCTCCCAAGAGCTTTCTCTTTGACCTGTAAGTGGCTTAGGACAAGTCACTGTCCATGCACAGAAGTGGGTTAAGGGGCAGGAACAAAGGAAGACCAGCAAGTTCAGTCCCTTCTTGCCTGCTACTGTGTCTGTGCATAGGCATGCAGAGTTGTCTCCTGTCTGATCATCACATCTAAGGATTCTTGGACTCAGCTCTCAGCCCTGTTGGATCCAAAAGGCAGCAGCAGGGGGACAGAATGAACCTCACCTTCCTGCTGCCATGTATTACAAACAATTTGGGTCTTTTCTCCCCCAGATCCTTAGCTGTGACCCTGGTTTACAGAGTTTGGTAGTCACTGGCTTCCCTCTTATCTTGAACCTTCTCTGGCAGCTCCATGCAAACTTGGGCCTCCAAGAGCCCAGATGCTGCCTTATTCCTTTTTCAAGAACAAATGATAAAAATGAGAGCAACATATGTACACACCCTTGATGATGAACTTCTCAGCTGGGGAAGGTGAGGTCAGAACCAATAGGGGAGCTCCAGGCCCCTTGTAGAATCTGCACCTTCCTCAGGGCAATGGATGGACCTCAGAGGAAACCAGAAACCAACTGCCTCATTGAAGCTGTTGATTATATTCACTTCATCACTCACTGCCTTCTAACAACACTTCCCTTCCCACTTGCCATGCCTTTTTGAACCTCCTTTGGAAAGAAGCATATAATTTTGTAATTAATACCCTACCATTACCCTTCACAGCCTAATACCTCTGCCGCCATGTCCCACAACACGTCCAGCACACACACTCCAAGCCCCTGGTGAGGGCCATTCTGTGGCTTAGGAAAGAGAATATTTTCTCTTATCATCTGATCTAGGCTATGAACCTCTCTCCTTTCTAGACATAGGATCTTCCCAGGCCAATAACCCAGGCCTGAAAGTCTCTCCTAACCTAATCCTCTGCTGGGAAGCTTAGAATTTTTCTCATGATGGTGCTGGGCCCCTTTCTTGTCCTTGACCTCAGTGCCTCCAAGTTATCACTCTGTGCAATCCTAGGAGAGAAGGACGTATGAGAGTCTACAAGTTGTAGTTTTCCTTCCTCCCAACTTTGTTTTTTTTTAAATGTTTTTATTATTTATTTTTGAGAGAGAGACAGAGACAGAGTGCAAATGGGGGAGGGGCAGAGAGAGAGGGAGACACAGAATCTGAAGCAGACTCCAGCCTCCAAGCTGTCAGCACAGAGCCTGACACGGAGCTCGAACCCACGAACTATGAGATCATGACCTGAGCTGAAGTCGGACACTTAACCAACTGAGCCACCCAGGTGCCCCATCCTTCCTCCTAACTGTATATGCACTACCCGTGCCTGTTTTGTGCCACGGTCACTGGTGCAAACATATCTACCAAGGGTGATTGCCGGCCCTAAGACACGGGGATATTCTCTCTCCCATCTATCCCCTCCTGCTGCTTTTCATGTGCACAGAAGCTGGAAAGCTCCTACATCTTTCTGTCCCCAAAGGCTCCAGTTCAGATGTCGCTGAGGAGGGATTTTCTGCTGCTTGCCACTTTCATGTCTATGAAGTGGGTCCCTCAAATCTGCACCCCCCCCTCCTCCTGGCCAGAAATGGCCACTCATTCTGCTACCTCCCAGAATGTTTGGAACAAGGCCAGAAGAGTAGATAGAAATAATCCATTCTGAGCTTATATCTGAGTTGGTGTTTCCTCTTCCCAGAATGGAAGAAGGGAGTGATTTTGCCCAAAGCAGATCCTGAATCTAGTCTATTGTGCTGAGAGCCAACACAGAACCACGCTTGTATACCTCATTGAACTACTGAGATTCCAGCATTCAGACAGCTGTGTCCTCATATGGTTTCTCCTTTCTATAAATCAATTAAGTACCTCAGGCTGGGTCCCAATGCAGAGCTGTCCTTAAGTTTGGGTAAAGTGAATAGAAAAACCCTCAGAATTTGTTCAGTCATGTGCGTGTATAATGTGATGCTTCTATTTTTTAATATGTATGTGCTATGCACAAACCATATCATGTTCCAGCAAAAAGTAAAAGGTCTTTTTATACGTTCCTCTAAACTGTTTGACTCCACCCCTCCTATTAAAACTCACAACAAATCTCCAGGTTGTGGTTGATTTTCACCTTGATTCTTTTTCTCTCAAGGAGGAAGGCGAAGGGAAACAGAAAGCATAGATTCATGGTGCTGTCAATATTATTGGTTCATGGTGCTATGGATTATTAAGGCAGGGAGAAATCACGTGAGTAACTCAGTCCCACCACCATATTTTAAAAATGTGGAATTCAGCTCCGAAGGGGAAGGAAGCTATCATAGACCATAGTGAGGCAGCAGCCCTCTTCCTCTTCTGCCTTTGTCAAAGCAAGATATCCACATTTCTGTTACTGTACCATTTACTCATTCACTTATTCACCCATCAAGAAAATACTGAGCACCCTATCTCTGTGCTGCATTGGGTTGAGTTTTGGGAAATGTGAGTGAATGAGGTAGACCCAATTCCCACCCTCTCACAAACTTGCATTAAAAAAAAAACACCCAAGAGTATGTTAAAATGTAGATTCCCTGGCCACACTTGCAGAGATACTGATCCAGAGGCCTGGGTGGAGCTCAGGAGTCTACCTTTGTAACACACACCCCAGGCAATTCTGACACTGAGAAGCCCTAGTCTAGTAGAATGACTAGAATTACAGAATATTTGAAGTAAGAGATACTCTATAAATTATGAAAAATCTTTTCATAGGTTAAAAGAAGAAGAAGAGGGAGTTTAAGTTTCTCACCCAGGATCACATAGCCAGATGAGAACCTATGACTCACAAGCTTATTCTCTCACATCCCACTTACCCCTTCCCACACCTCTTCATCATCACACCTGTGATCTCCTGACCATGCCCCTATCATGCCAGCCCTACCCAGGTTCCTCTTCTATTCCTTGTGTAGTCTCTGGAAGAGAATAAAATGTGCCTTTGGTTGAGTAATGTTGGGTTCTGAATAAATCTCTGTACTCTTGGAAGAGCTGCCTGGTCCTGTGGCCTCTGCAACTTGTTCCTGTATTTATCCACACAATTGATATTTCTAAGATCCTACTATGTGCCTTGAAATATCATTGTGACCAATTATATGTGGGCTTATATATTGGCAAAG